TACCCAATCTCAGATATTTGTATATAGTGATGCAAGAATGGACTAACACAGCCTCTCAAATCCAAACATACCTTTTCAAAGTCTGTCTTCTCTGTACCTTGGGTTGCTTTATTTGTGTCCCTGGGGTCTCTGGAGGATCAGAGAGGTTCTCAGAGGATTGGGGTCTTTGGCCTCACTGCAGCCACCAGCCACAGCCCTACACTATCCACTGCCCTGGATAACACAGGTGGCGCATATGAGCAGGCCAGTGAGAAGGAGGCCCTTGACTCAGAATCAGCCCACACCCTTCCCTGCATCTGCCCTTCCTGCATCTTCTCTGTGAAGCGCCTGCAGCACAGCTGGCCCTGCCTGTCCCTCTGAGGCTGGTGTTGAGCTCCCTGCCGCCCAGGCTGCAGCTGTGTTCACCCTGCCCAGAAAGCCTTCTCTTGGTGCTCACAGACCCCGGTCTGCGGGCTTAGGTTTCATCATGTTGTTCCTAGGCCTTCTGGGCATCCAGGCAATCTTGCATACTTGGATTTTCAGCTGAGCTTCCGAGGGGCGATGATGGTGTCTCAGGCATTCTGTGTTCTCAGCGCCTAGCATTTGAAGAAAATAATTCTAGCTGGATGCGGTAGTTCACGCCTATAATCCCAGCACTTTGGGAGGCCAAGGCGGGAGGATTGCTTGAGGCCAGACGTTCAAGACTAGCCTCGTCGTATTGGGATGCACCTGTGGTCCCAGCCACTCAGGAAGCTGAGGTGGGAGGATTGCTTGAGCCATCACTGCAGATGGAGGCTGCAGTGAGCCATGATCATGACACTGAACTCCAGCCTGGGTGACACTGTTGCATCTCAGACTTGTTCTCTGATCTTATGCAGGTGTACAGGTATGGGCAACACACCCCATGGGCGCTGAGGAAGGAGAACTGTCCAGACCCCAGGCCCAACTAGTGCCTGAAGAATATCTTAATTCATAGTGTTATTGCTCAGCTGTTTCCTTTATATAATCCTTCATATATATCATATATTAGTTTATAGAATTCATGCTTGAAGTATAACTTACTGCTTACATATATCTAGCATACTTAGTTCTGTATAATCTTTCTATATAATCATGTAGGTATTGTAGTCGGAGCTGTACTGACACAGTTAGTGCTGATTTATATTATCCTTCTATATAACCATATAGTAGTTTGTAGTAGGAGGAATGTCTGGAGCAGTCACAGAACAGAAGCAGTACATGGGAAACCAGCCAGACCAGGATAAGAACCAAAGACCCAGGCGGTGGCGTCCCTGCCTGAAAGGGCATACGCTGTACAGCAGGCTTGGAGCAAGAGCCTCTCCTCCTGATAAAGGAGTTGTAGTACCTTGCATTCAGTTCCTGTGGAAAGTTGGCCTCAGGCCTGAGATCCAGGAAGTAACCGAGGGAGAAGAACCCTTCTGGTGTGACCAGTCACAGTGGCTGTATACCCTGTCAGTCTTTTTTTGATTCTGTGCTAGCTCAAAGAATCCTCCCATAAATATCTTAAGAGAAGAGCACAAGTCTGTCAGCTCCCACTGCATTAAGCTACAGTACCCTTCTTGAAGTCTCTAGTCCCCAGATAAGAAGTGTGGCACACGACACCTGTTGCACACAGCCCACCTCCTTGCCTCAGTGACCTAATGGGGGTGGACCCCTTTTCTGTACACGACCCTCTACTACTGCACACAGTATAGCCCCCTGCTGTGCATGGCCCACCTCTCTGCCCAGGTGACATAATGGAGTGGTCCACTCACTTGTAACTCACGTGATTATGTATGCCCTATTACTAAGCCTTTAGATGAGACCTCACTTACAACCCTGCCCCCTGCTTGTACCTAATAAATACAGATGCTCTCAGGCATTTGGGGGCCGCCGCTGATCTCCGCTCACAGGTGGTGTGGCCCCCAGAGTTCAGATGCTCTTCACCAGTTCTTCAGTGTCCTCTTTACCTCTTGGATTCTGCACCCCAACACAGCATAAAGGACACCCCATGACCCTGTGGGGCCTCCACAGCCCTATATCTGGTGCCCAACATGTGGGTGCCCTACATACAGGTACTGGTGTTGAGTCAGATTTCTCTGGTTGCTATGGTTTCAAGGTCACTGGATGGTAACTATGCAGCTTTGCTGGTACTTTGTCCCTAGGCTTTCCCTCAAACTCTAAACTGACCTGAGAAACCCCTAATCTGACGTGCAACTAGGTCTCTATGCTCTATTTCCAGTTGCCATCTTGGACACCTCTACCTACATTTTGCAGGGACAGCAACGTGTCCCAAACCGAAATCATGTTCCCTTGCAGACACGCCCTCCACTTGCACCCCTTCCTCATCATTCACTGGGCTGCCCAAACCATAGCCATGAGCATTTGCCTTTTATCCTCAATCCTGGCTCTCTGCCGTGTCAGCGATCCTTCCCCCTGTTGCTGTGGAGATGCCTCCCCGGCACGCACCTGAACCGTAGCTGGATCTGACTGCTCCTTCTGCCTCCTGCTTTTACTCCCACCCTCACCTCCTTCTCCATCCTCCTGCCACTGATGTCTTCTAACATGCAAATGTGAGTACATCACTCTCCACTTTAATATCTGTCAGTGACCCTGAAATGCATTCAAATAGAAGTACAATATCTTGGCGAGGCATAGCAGTCTTAATTCAGTGTCGCTGTTCCTTCAGTCTCATCTCCGGCCATAAAAAAACGCCCTGTGCAGTGCTCCGTCATGCTTCCAAGCCTGATGCCCCTCACCCCAGTCCTGTAGACTCATCACATGTCATGTCCTTCTGATTGCTGGTTTTCTTCTGTTTCCATCCAAACATGTGAATTGCTTGAGGATAAGGGTAGTGCCTTGGAATTTCCGGCATCATGCTTTGCACATAGTAGTTATCCAACAAGCATGTGTCGAATGAGTGAATTGTATGCAACCCCGATCAGGAGCTGGGATAGAAGGATTTTAGTGGCACAGGCTTGTCTCAGAGAAGCCTCTCAGCCTCTCTTAGAGTTCATGGCCATAAACCAATAGTTTCAAAGTTACTCCTTTTTGATATGGATAGATTCTGGGCTTACTAAATTGAAAGCATCTATTTTATTTTTAAAATGTTATTAACTAGGGGCATCGCTCCACCCCCAAAAGTTTTTTTTTAACTATTTGTTTTAGAGAAACCATTAACGCACTTAAATGATTCATTAAAAAGCCATAATATTCTGCACAAATAGCTGTTTGAAGCTGTCCTGCTTAACTACAGATACTCGTCTAAGGGCCCACAGTCATTCAGACACCCGCAGACATGCGGTAAGATTTTTTTTCTTACCCCCTGTCTTTCAGCTTTCCTACTGCAGACCTCTGAGAACAACCGAAAATGCTTTGCCTGGCAACTTCCAAGAACAAGCACCCAGGGGCTAAGAGAACAAATAATTTGTAAGCTGCCAGTTTAAGATGCAGCTCCTGGTCGGGCGCGGTGGCTCAAGCCTGTAATCCCAGCAGTTTGGGAGGCCGAGGCAGGTGGATCACGAGGTCAACAGATCAAGATCATCCTGGTCAACATGGTGAAACCCCGTCTCTACTAAAAATACAAAAAATTAGCTGGGCATGGTGGCGCGTGCCTGTAATCCCAGCTACTCAGGAGGCTGAGGCAGAATTGCCTGAACCCAGGAGGCGGAGGTTGCGGTGAGCCGAGATCGCGCCATTGCACTCCAGCCTGGGTAACAAGAGTGAAACTCTGTCTCAAAAAAAAAAAAAAAGAAAAAGAAAAAAGATGCAGCTCCCTCATCATCACAGGTGAAGCACCAATGCCTCTCACATGTGAAATCCGTTCTCTCCCAGTCTTACTACCTAATGCATTTCTGCAATCTCGGACGCCTGTCATTAGCCTCTCCAATAGTTTTGGGCAGGAGGTGGACTGAGAAAGTAGTGTATTAAAAAGTTAACGTTTAAAGAAAAAAAAAGTTAACGTTTTTCCCTTGGATGCCCTCTCCCCACAGCTATTAACGAGGTGAGAGAAATCAGGTGACTCCCAGTCATCATGCAGCGGTTTCCTCACCACTTATCATCAAGACAAATTAAAAAATAAAAATAAAATCCTATTGGCGCAGCGGCCACCAAGTCTTCGAGGCCTGGCCTCGGTGGGCGGGGCCGAGGCCTAGGAGAGCGACTACACAAGTGGGCGTGACCTCGCGGGAGGAGCTGCGACCGGGGAAAGGCGGGACTGTCGGGTGGGCGGGACCTCACGGAGGAACTGAGTAGGACGGGACCGACTAGGGAAGGGCGTGGCTGTCGTACAGGGGTGACCTCGCGGGAGAAACTGAGGAGGGCGGGACCGACCAGGGAGGGAGGGGCTATAGGGTGGGAGGAGCTGCGGAAGGCGGAGCTGGTCGAGGGGAGAAGCTGGTCGAGTAAGAGGAGCTGATCGAGGGGAGGAGCTAATCGAGGGGAGGGACTGATCAAGGGGAGGGGCTGATCGAGGGGAAGAAGGGGCTGATCCAGAGAAAGGACCGGTCGAGGGGAGGGGCTGGCAGGGAGGCGGGGCCTAGAGGAGGCCCGCGAAACTACCGCTCACTTGGCTGCGGGGCCTCCCCGTGCGCCTCAGTGCACAGCGTACTGGGCGCCCTTGTCTGCAGCGAGAGCGGCGGCGGTGAGGGGACAAGACCACGAGGCCACTGTTCGCGCCTCGCCGGCTGCAGAAGTTGTTGCCATACATTTCAAATGTGCATTTCCTACGTCTCACGCTCTGTCTTGCACCTCCATAGGCGGTCACGGCCTTGTTACCGCAGTGGCCGCTACACGCTTCCTCCCCTCACCCGGCTCAGCCCAGCCGTCAGCCCCAGCCATGAGAATTCGGCCAACCCCATGCCGGGACGCGGCGACTGGTGACGGAGGGCGGGGGTGTGAACGGGACGGGCGGAGGGAGTCAGGGAAGCGGGGAGCGTTAGGACACGTGAGGGCGCGTCGACCAATGGCAGGGCGCCTTCGAGGGCGGCTAGGCGGGGCCGGGGGCGGGGGCGGGGCGAGCGGCGGGCGGCCCGGGGCGGGGCGGGCCGGCCGGGAGAGGGGCGGAGAGACGCCGCCGCCGTTGCCGCCGCCGCCGCCGCGGCCGCCGCTGCCTCTGGGAGCCTGAAAAAGGGGAAACGAGAGCGAGCGAACGATTCAGTCCCGCGGCGGCGGCGGCGGCGGCCGTGGCCGTGGGGGCGCGACGGCCGGGGCGGGGGCGCTGCTGCTGCGGAGGCAGGCGGCGGCAGGGGCGGCGGCGGCGGCGGCGGCTCGCTCCAGCCATGCCGAATAAAAACAAGAAGGAGAAAGTGAGTTCGGGCCCGGCCGCGGGACGCCGGGGGCGGGAGAGAGCGCCGGGGGAGGGCGCCGGGGCGCTGGGGTCCTGCTCCCGGGCCCCGGCTCAGCCTCGCCGCCTGCTGCGGGCTCCGCGTCCCCGAGGGCGGCCGGGCCGGGCATCCCGGGGCTTCTCTCGCCCTCACGGCTGGTGGGGGCGGGGAGCCCGGGAATTGCGCCGGAGCCGCGGGGCCCGGGCCCGGGCAGCGGGGACCTTCGTGCCGGACCCGTGCCGGGCGTGGAGAGAGGCGCGTCCGGGGGAGGGGGTTGGAGGGGCGCCCGCCCCCGACAGCGCGCCGTGGGCCTGGGCGGGCAGGTGCGGCCGCCGAGGGGGTTCGCAGCCTCGCAGTCCCCCGGAAGGAGCTTCAGGGATGGGGGCTGTAGACGCCTGGGGAGGGACCCCGCTGAACGCTAGTAAGGAATTCTTTGCCGCCCCGGAGGGACGCTCTGGGGCTCTCAAAACGCTGTTATTATCCTGGGTGGCGGCGGCAGTGAGGGCTGCGAACGAGGGTGCTGCGTTTGCATTGCGGGGGGTGGGGGAGCGGGAATGTTTCTGCTTCAGGTGAGGCTCTGTAGCGTTTCGGCATCACCCCAGAAATACTCACTCATAGGGTTTAGGGTGGGAGTGAAGAAAGGAATGTGATGTGGATCTTCAAAATGCCAAAAGCGCTGTATAAAATTAGATGTATCTGTTTTCTGCTTAAAGTTTTCAACCTCAAGTGGAGATAAAACGAAAGGAATCTGAAAGGGAGGATTGTTGCTCTATTGGATTCCTAAACAATATGATCTAGAATTTCCTAATGGTGTGGGTTAAAACTATCAAAAGCGCTGGTAGAGTTGTATCAATCCTTTTTAAAACTGCGTTTGGTTTACCTGTCTAAAAAGTGAGAAGACTAATTGACTTTGCTTCATGTTTCCCAGGAATCTCCAAAAGCAGGGAAGAGTGGGAAAAGTTCAAAAGAAGGACAAGACACGGTAGAATCAGAGGTAACTGGCATCAAATACAGACTTTGTTTTTCATACACAGCTTTTAACTTAGGGTAGAAGAACTGAGAATGAGAAAACCTAGGATCTCCTAAAATGCTTCCCTGTATGAAGTTTTCTTTGTGGTGCCTTTCATAACCCTCCATTTTAGTTGTTTAGGTATTTACCGTTCTGCTTTGGAAAACTATTTACGATTTTATGAAAATCGTGCTTGCCTATGGAACTGGTTTGTGGATCTTTGGGGTTTTTTTGGTTTGTGGGTTTTTTTTGGTTTTGGTTTTTTTTTGAGATGGAGTCTCACTTTGTCACCCAGGCTGGAGTGCAGTGGCTCAATCTCTGCTCTCTATGACCCCTGCCTCCCAGGCTCAAGTGATCCTCTCACCGCAGCCTCCGAGTAGCTGGGACCACAGGCACATGCCACTACTCTTAGCTGATTTTTTTTTTTAGACAAAATTTTGCTCTGTCACCCAGGCTGGAGTGCAATGGCACCATCTTGGCTCACTGCAACCTCCACCTCCTGAGTTCAAGCGATTCTCCTGCCTCAGCCTCCTGAGTAGCTGGGATTACAGCCACCACACCTGGCTAATTTTTGTATTGTTAGTAGAGACAGGGTTTCACCATGTTGGTCAGGCTGATCTCGAACTCCTGACCTTGTGATCCCCCTGCCTCAGTCTCCCAAAGTGCTGGAATTACAGGCCTGAGCCACTTCGCCCAGCCTGGAACTGGTATTTTTAAGTTCATTTCCCATACTTCAAACCCAGCAACCATCCCGTATGGCTTGGTCTTATGGATTCTGTGGTGTATATAGCTATGTTGCTTTTAGCTTTAGGGCCATCCCCCACTGCTACTTCCTTTGCAAGCTGCCAGGTGACTCTGTGGTTGGTTCTTTTTCTTTTATCACCTTTGTTTTCCTTCATGCCGTCTCTGCTACTGACGTCCTGGGCTAGCTCCCTATTTCTGTGGATGTCTGGTCCCTTGGCCTCTTTCCCCAATAATGTTGGTATTTGAAAAACTCACCTAGTTTTGGTATTTTATCATCATTCATGTTCTTATTCATTCTCTGTGTGTGTGTGTATGAGTGTGTGAGTGTGTGTGTATGAGTGAGAGTGTGTGTGAGTGTGTGTGTATGAGTGTGTGTGTGAGTGTGTGTGCTTGCGTGCGTGCACGTGTGCACATTGGCCACTTGTGAATTTCTCTGCTGCTTGGCTTTGGGCTCGTTGAGGAGCAGCTGGAATGCCAAGTGAGGATTGCATGTACTTGAGCAGCCGTGATGCTGGTGCTTCACACAGTTGTGCCTTCAGAGGATTTGCACAGTCACCACTTTCCTTTGCCTAACTGTTGAACTAGAGAGCTCCTAGGGCCAAGGGTCCAGGAGCAGTGTGGACCCAAGCAGAGCCAGTAGGTCCTTTTGAATCCATGGGCAGCAGAGAATCGGCTTAAGAGACTGTCAGTTCTCCAGAGCTGGATCATTGAGGTCCCAGTCTTATGACAAATGACATTTATTTGTGAGTGTCAGAATTCTTCCCGGAAACCAAATTAGAATGAGTTAAATTCCGTCTGGGAAACACAGTTGACTGGCGATGATCTGCAGTGCACTTTTTTTTAGCCCTGCGTTCTCTCTTTTCTATCCTTTGGTGTATTCTGAACCTCCCTCCTCTTCAGCAGGTGGTTTATTCCAGCAAATCTGTTGCCCTCCCCAAAGCAAAAAGCAGAAATCCAAAAGGTTCCTTAAATGTCAGTAGTTAGGATCATTTGTGCCAGTCTGTCCCTCCCTGTCTTTATAGCACAGTCAAGGTTTACTATGCCGTGCTTGGATTTGACTTGCTTATTTCTTCCCTGTCACCCTTTTAACTAAATTCATTTAGCCGAAGATGAAATGTAGGTGCTTTATGGAGGTGTATGCTATATGCCTTTTTTTTCTTTTGGTTTTTTGATCTTTCATTAAAACTACTAAGATTTCTTCTCCTTAGACCTCTCTTGCTAGTGTACCTATATCTTCTTATTTTAGGGCTATTCCTTTTTTTTTTTTTTTTTTTTTTTTTTTTTGAGAGATGGAGTTTCGCTCTTGTTACCCAGGCTGGAGTGCAATGGCGCGATCTCGGCTCACCGCAACCTCCGCCTCCTGGGTTCAGGCAATTCTCCTGTCTCAGCCTCCTGAGTAGCTGGGATTACAGGCACGTGCCACCATGCCCAGCTAATTTTTTTGTATTTTTAGTATAGACAGGGTTTCACCATGTTGACCAGGATGGTGTTGATCTCTTGACCTCGTGATCCACCCGCCTCGGCCTCCCAAAGTGCTGGGATTACAGGCTTGAGCCACTGCACCCAGCTTAGGGCTATTCCTTATACAAAGGAGCATCAATGTGTATATTTCATTTATTCCTATTTTTAGTAGGAAGATCCTGGCTATAAGGACGAATAATGTTAAGTTTAAACCTGAAAAATCTGTCAGTAATTCAAAATACCAAAACCACTGCTATGTAAAATGTGTTTTTTTAAAGTGGTTTGGGTTTCTAGACTCCCAGTCGTGTAAGACTCGTGGTGTGGCCTGCAGTGCCTGAGTATGATGCCCCGCTTGTCTTTTTGTATTTTTTCTAGAGCTGGAGCTACAGAGCTTGAAATTACCACTGAAAAATACTGAAATGTTGGGTCCTTCACTGCTTCCTCATAAGGATACCAGAGGCAACATGGCATGTTAAGCACGACACTTGGCAGATCACTGTGTAAACTGTTTTTCAGGAATACAAATTGGGACACTTCTGTTCTTTTGACCTTTGAGTTGACCCTTAACTTTTTTATTATTGTTTTTTTCCCCTCGGTCTTCAGCTCACTGCTTCACTCCTAGTTCCACCCACTTACCAAATATGATTGACTCATGCAGGTAAATTAAACCATTATTGCACACTTTTTCCCTCTCCTCTCTCTCAGTATTACTCTTAACTTGAATATTTTAACCTGAACAATTTAAATAGGTTTGATATTCCCATGCTGCTTTCAAGCCTCTCTTTTTTTTTTTCGATACAGAGTTTTGCTCTTGCTCCCAGGCTGGAGTGCAATGGTGTGGTCTCTGCTCACTGCAACCTCCACCTCCCGGGTTCAAGGGTTTCTCCTGCCTCAGCCTCCCAAGTAGCTGCGATTACAGGTGCCCGTCACTATGCCCAGCTAATTTTTTTTGTATTTTTAGTAGAGACAGGGTTTCACCATGTTGGCCAGGCTGGTCTCTAACTCCTGACCTCAGGTGATCTGCCCACCTTGACCTCCCAAAGTCCTGGGATTACAGGTGCAAGCCACGGCGTCCAGCCCCTTTCAAGCCTTTTACAATCATGTCGCCTTCACAATGAGCAGTTGCTCCCATTACCCAGTGAACTCACCTTCTAATTGGACAGTTACCCCACCTGGGGCTTCACAGCCTTGAAAGACGTACAGAGCAGGGACCTGTCCAGGGCAGAGAGCCAGATGGTGTGGAAATAATCCCAACAGAGAAAGCACTCAAGAACCTGGCCTCTCAATGACTTAACCCCCTCCTTCAAGTATATGGCAGGTCCTTATAATAAAATCCTGCCTGGCTATTTAGCCATAGAAAGCAAGGAAGCCGGCGGCATATGTTGCAGAACTATTCTTGGGTAGAACAAGGGGACATTTGATGGTTTGGGTTTTTCCTTAAGAAAGATGAAGTCCTGGAGTAGAGGATAGACTGATAGAGTGGAAAATGTTTCAGCCTGGGAGTTAGAAAGTAAACATGCGGATTCTTGCTTTGCCATAAACGATGTCACCTAACTTGTGTGACGCTGTTTTCTCATGCTTCAAATGATTTGGTGAGTTTAAGATGAGGCCATTTTTTAATGTATAGGACAGATTGGATGGTACCCTTCTTGAGAGACATTTTCCCTGCAAGAGATATGGCAGGATGTATCTTTCATTGTCACAAAATTCTGTTAAAGGTCATAAATGCTGCCATGTAACTTTTGCCTAATTCTAGAAACTTCTCTTTGAATGAATGTGTTGGTACATGTTTCTTCTCTTTCAGATAGAATGGTTAATTTTGACTTGTTGCTTTTGCATATCTGTCCTGGAAATAAAAGTTTCTTCCCAGTACTTCTGATTTATTCCTAGGAAGTCTTAAGGGATGAGGCAGCACATGGGCTCATGGGCCACTTGAAGTTGGAAAATTCTGTGGAGATTGACAAGGAAACTCACTTTTCAGCATCTGTTCTCAGCATAACATTCAAATCTGTGGAAACATAATTAGGCACATTTTATGATGATTTAGAAGCTTAATAAATTGCTCCAAGATTTCTAAAGTTGGTTTTGTAAGATCAGACCATAGGTTGGTGTTCTCTTAAGCTTGTGTACTCTGTCCAACGTCACATTTTTAAAAGCGTTCATGATTTTTGTAAAGTGATTTGTTTTAAGCACATTAAAGGTTGTTTGAGTGTTGTTTGTGTTTTACACCTGCTTCAGCTTAGTTTTGTTTGAAAGTCTCTACAGCAACTCTTACCTAGTATCTGCTGCTGAAAAGAAGGAACAGTCCTCTCTCCAACTTGTTAGCTGGCTTGACACCTTCCACTGTAGTAAGAGCCTTTTTCCTGTTAGAATCTCTCCCCTTACATTCCACTGCCACCACTCCCTGTTCTAGAGCTAGTGAGACTGACAGTCACCTCAGGCCACATAGGTGCTAGGCAGAGGAGTAATTTTTTAGAAATTAAAGCTGAAATTTAAAAAATATTTAGTAATACACCCATTAGATAATGTTAACAAATAACATTTTTTATGAAAAATACCTTTTCTTTTCTTTCTTTTTTTTTGGGGGGGGGGTGGGGGGAACAGAGTTTCGCTTTTGTTGCCCAAGCTGGAGTGCAATGGCGCAATCTTGGCTCACTGCACCCTCAACCTCCCAGGCTCAAGTGATTGTCCTGCCTCAGCCTCCCGAGTAGCTGGGATTATAGGCATGTGCCACCACGCCTGGCTAATTTTGTATTTTTAGTAGAGACGGTGTTTCTTCA